CACACACACACACACACACACACACACACACAGATCCTTAAATAGATGATCACTATGGCCTGTCAGAAAAAATAATTTAAAAATTCATTTACATATACAGTCACATTTTAAGTCAACAAATATATATTGCGCTGTTAGCATGTGTCACGTACACAGATGACTAAGCCATGTTCCTGGCTTTAGGGAACTCTTAGCAACAATATTATTTGTATGTCACTTTAGCATTCACAAAATGTTCATGCATACATGGTCATTATAAAGATGGTATGATAAGTTAGTTACACTACCTTCCAAATTCTCAAAACAATCACAAGTAGATGAGGAAACAGAAGGTGGGGAGATTAAGTGACTAGGCCAGAGTTATACGGCTAATGGGTAGCAGACCTGGGATTAGAAAACAGGCCTCGAATGCTACCAAACTGTTTTCTTTCCCTGACTATTTGCATTTGATGGGCAATATTTTTGCTTTATATACTGGGTATATTTATTCATTATATAAACTAGACATAAAAAGGGATGCTATATAGAATGAACCCTAATGTGAACTATGGATTCTTGTGTTAATGCAGGTTCACCAATTATAACAGATGTGCAGTTCTGGTGGGGGATGTTGATAACGGGAGACTATGCATGTGTGGGGACAAGGGGTATCTGGGAAATCTCTGTGCCTTTGCTCAATATTGCTGTCAACCTAAAACTTCTCTAAAAAAAATTAAGTCTATTTAATCAATTAATTTATTTATTTTTATTAAAAACACTTTTTAAGGGACAGGGTCTTGTACTTTCACCCAGGCTGGAGTGCCATGGCATCAGCCTAGCTCACTGTAACCTCGCACTCCTGGGCTCAAGTGATCCTCCTGCCTCTACCTCCCAAGTAGCTGGGACTACAGGCATGAGCCACCACGCCCAGCCCTTAAGTCTATTTAAAAAGGGGGAACAGATGCTATTAATAATCACACCAGGGTACCAGGCATAAACTGAGACTAACTAACACAAACTGGGAAGTACAGTCACCCCTCTTAAATCAGAATTCTAATTTGCATTCCTGCAGAGAAATGATTATTTAAGTTAATTCACAATTATAGTTAAAATACTTCTTAAAAAGTATAAGATTGTCATTGAAGACTAGCAACAATGATCATTACAATATATGATTCAAGGAAATTGAAAAAATCCTCACCAGAAGGAGAAGTTATTGCGTACGTACCGAGCTGTCCTCGGCTTCGGCGCACCATTTCTTGCCTAGCACCTATGCTCCCAAGAATAGCTTCTTCAAGCTTTGCTCTCATGTCTTTTGATTTCTTAAAGGTCAAACTATTCATTCTTTCAAACACTTTTTTTCCCTAAAATTTAAACATCAGGAAAGAAGAGGTATTGAGGAAATTTCCTTTTTCCTTTTCCACGTTTCCTTTCTTGTTCTTTGCAATGTTATAATGACCACTTACTTTGTACTCGAAGCAAGATACACAGAGATAAAGCAGATCTAATAGCCGGTTTAGCTGCAGGACTGAGAGATCTGTAAACCACTTTTGTAGAACTGTTTCATCTGCATTTTTGAGAACCCAAAGTAGACAGATCAAAAGGCTCCGACTTGATTCTGCAGAAAAGGTAGTGTGTTGTCTGCCACTCTGAAAATAAAGAGTAGTAGAATGAGAGAGATTGACAAATGACCATTTCTTGTTTTTTGGTTGTCAACTGTTTTCTTCTAAAAACAATAAACAAAAATTGCTTAAAAAATAACATATTTAAAATGAGCCACTTGATTTACATAACACTTGTATAAAACAGTTATACAGAACCTTACTAAGAGCCTAAAGTCTAATGAATGTTTCCTGGCAATAGAAGTTTGTTTTTATCTATGGCAGAGTTGCCAGCAAGGAATAAATAAATGTTAATAGAAAACCTAAATGGAAAAACTAAAGGTTTCTACCATTAAAAACTAAAAGATATCTACCACAGAATATTAACATTATAGAAATAAAGGCAAAAAGTAACTGACTCAGTAAATAAGGGTGGGGTAAGAATAGAAAACAATAACAAAATAATGTTTATCAGGCTTAGAGGACTATTGTTTCTGATCAAGGACCACTGACATAAAAGGGAAAAGTCATAGGCCATGTAGAAATAAAAAGCTATTTTTACTTATAGCATATAAGGTTGAAATGCTATTTTTAATTTTCAATCTCCTTTATTTTAGAAGTAGGTACTTTTTGTAGCTGAACTTTCAGAGATGCGTAAATATATAGCACTAACTCAATTTTCAAGTAGCTATTTTTTAGAAATACAATTGAAAAGTTATTCTCAACTTGACAAATGGGCATATCTTGACATCTCTTATATTCCCACATACATTGCCGATAACACAGTGGGAAACATTTTGAAGAAAGTAAAACATGAAAAAGACTGAGTAATGTAAAGATGTCACTTTTTCTCCAAATTGTTCTATCGGATCATTGCATTTGATTTCTTTTTTTTTTTGAGACAGAGTCTCACTCTTTTGCCCGGGCTAGAGTGAGTGCCG